AAGTACATATATACGACTTGTGTTACTTGTGTTACTATGTATACATATACATATATGTGTGTAGATATGGCTTTAAATTAGAAATACTATTAATGTGTAATGTTATTAGACACATTATTTTATTTTTGTTTAGATATATTATAATGAAATTCTGGTTTGTGTAATACTGAAAAAATATATTATTATGAAGGTCAGTTATAAGTGTGAACTTTATTAGTAGACTAGAGTATTTACTTCATCAAATACTAGGTATTACAGGGAAAGCAGCCTGTTGATGTAATTAACATGTATAATCAGTCAACTTTACGTCAAAAAAAAAAATTTCTTCAAAATCCAAGTGGGCCTGATACAATCAGTTGAAAACCCTTAGAACAGAAGGGAAGATTCCCTAAGTATTTAGGAATTTTGCCTGTGGACAGCAGAAATAGCTTGTCCCTGAATTTCCAGGTTCCTCTTCCTAAAGGCTTGGCCTAAGAATGTTGGACTTGCCTGCCTTGTTCCTTCAAAGATAATATAGGAATATAGGCCAATCTGCACCGCCCTCCCAAAATGCACACACACACATTTACACACAACCACATTTCTCTGTTTATCTATTTTTGTTGGACTAGTAGGTCTTCTCTACTCCAAATTATCCTCTTATTTTGATTGATTTCATAAAGCAGCATAGGAAAAAAATGAATGTTATTGGGGTTATAGGAGCTGTAATGTTACCCCAAATCTCAATAAAAGATGGTAAAATACCAAATAAATACATGCAAAAATGAATTTTAAAGGAATAATTCTAGGATAGATTTTTATTGGAAGAAATTAGGGAAATAAAATCACCTAGATGGATCTATTAAGATAAAACATTTTTAATCAAACACATTTTCTTTTCATATTCAGTTTACATGGAACGTTTCCCTTCTGTGTATCAGGTATGGAACTAAAGTGTTGGACATTTTTTTTTAATCAAGGTCATCAAGAAAAAGCAGACCTAAAATATATTACTTTAAAATAATTTGATTACAATATTTTGTGTGTGTAAATTTGTTTTCAGTATTTCCACAAAGGGGAGATTAATGCATTTTTTCTAGGTTAGAGGAAGATGAAATTGAGAGTATTATTAATGTCTTGATAAAGAGGGAGAAAGTTAAGCTGGGGCATGAGCTGTAAAGAATACCCACAGGAGACAGATATTACTTTTTAAAAGAAGAAATAAGCATAATGCTTAATTAATAAGCACTATAGTATGCTTTAGAAAATATGAGGAATTGGCATGGCTAGATCGTGGAGGTAAAGAATACTGTGGCAAGGGTCAGATCATGAAAATCCTTGTTTGGTGGGCTGCAGTTTTTATTTTATTTTGTTGTCAATGAGGAGTTGTGAAACTATGGAACTGACAGTCATTTAAGAGTTTTAGACAGATCATTGAAATAACAGAGTTGAGGTTGTCCTGGAGGGAGCAGAGACAGAATTTTGAATTTATATCCACATACCATTGTAAAATCTAGCTGAAAATGCTGGGAGTCTTCAGCAGTGAAAGAAATGGAGTAGTGAGAAAGTCGTCTATTTGCATATAGGTTGTAGGATGAACCAGGCTTGGTGACAGGTTGAATTTTTTTTTTCAACTCTATGTGAAAAATTCAAATACTATCCAGAATAAATAGTGATGAATATTTTGAGACCTTACATTATACCAATTTTGTAAATTTGTGAAGCTTTTTTTCCTCCAGTAGACATATTTTATTGGTGCATAATTATCACACAGAATAGTAGATTTCATTGTGTGATATTTGTACATGCACATAACATAATTTGATTCAATCGACAGTATCTCCCCTTCCTCTCCCTCCATCCTTCTGACTCCCTTCCTCTTCTCTGCTGGCTTTCTTTCTTTCTTTTTTTCCTCTCTATACCTTTCACATAAGAGAGAAAATATATGACCCTTGACTTTCTGAGTCTGGCTAATCTCACATAGAATAATGTTCTCAAGTTCCATTTATTTTCCTGCAAATGACATAATTTTTTGTTCTTTATGCATGAATAAAATCCCATTGTGTGTATACATATATATGTGTATAGGTATTCTTGGCTCTTTATTGTATGCTGACTTTAATTCTTTCAGATAAATACTCAGGCATGGTATAACTGAATGGTATAGCTGAATGCAGGAATGGTAGTTTCATTCCTATTACACAGAGACAAACCCACAAACCATAGTCATCTGATTTTTGACAAAGCTAACCAGAACATATGTTGGAGAAAAGACAGCCTCTTTAACAAATGACACTGAGTAAACTGGATCCCCATATGTTAAAAAAATAAATAAAAGGAAACTAGATCCCTGTTTCTCACCCTGCACAAAAGCCAACTAAACATGAATCAAAAACCCAGCGAAAAAATCCAAATTTCCATTTTCTAGGAAAGAACAAAGAAGAAACTCTCCAACGTATAAGCATAGGCAGTGATTTCCTCAATAGGATTCCTGTAGCTCAGGAAATAATAGCATGAATCAATAAATGAGATAATATCAAACTAAAAAAATATTTACAACAAAACAGCTTAAATTTTGAAGATGAAGAAGAAACAAAATCCAATTCTAAGTTTCTGGCTTGAGTGATTGAACTGCATTATGCTGGTATTTAGCAGAATAGGGACCCTAGGAGAAAGAGCAGGTTTTTAGGGGAAACTAGTTAACAACAACCCCCCCCCCTCGAAAAAAAAAGATATAATGAATGGAAAGGATTTGTCAGGCATAGCTTTCTTAAATCCTTTACATGGACTTTCACATTTAACACTTTTAAATAATCTATGGGGTAAGCAATGTGGTTTTCCACACTTTACAGATGTGAAAACTGAGAATTTTGAGAGATAAGGACTTTAAAGAAATCACACAGTTGATAAGCAGTGAAGTAGGATGTTGAATCTGACTGAGCTGATCATGGTCTGGAAGAAATTCTTCACTGGGAACATCATTACAGCCTCTTATAGTTGGAGCCATCCTAGGTAATGAGATTAAGACTTCAAATTATTATTATACAAAATATAATTAGCCTTTTAGATAGTTTTAGATAATGAATACTTTCAAAAACTAAAACAAAACAAACAAACAAAAAAACCAGATCCATGGTTCATTTATCTAGGTATCTTATGAAACTCCCAAGATACAATGTTATTATTTAAGAAAATGTGGTATATAATCCCAATGGAGTTCTACTCAGCCATAAAGAAAAATGAAATTATGTGATTTGCTGGTAAATGGATGGAACTGCAGTACAACATACTAAGTGAAATAAGCAAAGCTCAGAAAGTCAAGGGTCAAATGTTGCATCTCATAAGCAAAAGCTAAAGAGAAAGAAGAATAAAAATGGCATTTTGTGAAGACAGAAGAAGCCAGTGACCAAGGGGAGGCAGCAGGGGAGGGAAAGGGGAAAAACTGGTGAATGAATTTGCTCAAATTATACTAGGTGCATATATGAATATACTGTAATGCATTCCAATTTTATATATAAGTCTAATAGATCAATTAAAAAATAAATAGAAGGAATACCAATTGTATAGAAGAAGGGGATCAGAAGAATGAAGGGAGAGGAAAGAGAATAGTACTGTGGATTGAAAAGGAATAAAACTATGGTATATACAAGGATGAGTCTGTTAAAATAAACCCCACTATTGTGTATAACTATCATGCCATAAAAAGAAGAAGTTTTATTAGTAAAGAGTCAAAATACATGCAGTAAATGAACAAATGGGATTTTGGGCATATAATCATAAGTATTAACACATAAAATATTACTCATATACAATAACTGCTTAATTTATGAAATTAGGATTAGAATTATGTATGAACATAAATGAATTATGAAAAGATGTGTTGAGTAAAGATATTTTGGTATCAATATCTCAGTATTTCAGCTTTAGGAATGTTTTATTAGGGTGTCTTGTGGTACTGTTTGTGGTATTTTCTGACCTCTTTGTGTGAAGACAAGGGTATATACACATTTTTCTTATTCTTAAGGTTAAACTATAAAAAAGATATATACTAGTACTCAACTTGGTTCAGACTCCTTAGGGAAATCTAGATGCATGCAGAAATCTGAATTTTAAGATCAGATTCGTGATTTCTAATAATAAGTGAACAAGACCTAGTAAAATAGAAAAATTATATTTTAAGGAATAATTAAGCAGTGATAAAAATTAGAATGTACTAAGAATTCTTATTATAATTAAATCACTAACTCAGAATGAAAATGTGAATTTGAATCTACTATATTCAATATATCATGTATTTAAAAATAGCAAATAACTAGAGAAAATCTAAACTTTCCATTATTGTGAATCCTTCATCACTAAACTTGAGTTATAAATGAGTGTTTTTCATGAATTATACTCCCAATAAAAAGAAAAATGAAAAAATAAGACTACAAAATATATATTCATATCTGGTTTCAGAATATATATTTATGCATATGAATGTGTATACACATATGTATAAATATGTACACATTTATCTATATATTAATATATTCCTGTTCACGTACTAGAAAAGGATTTAGAGAGGATTACAAAAGTGATTAAATTTGATTGGTAGTATCATTTGTGGATTTTCTATTTTTTCCATATTTTACTCAACTTTTTAAACAAAAGCAGTATGTTAGTATTATTAGATTGTTTGCTTTTAAGATCTATTTTCTGACTTGCTTTTAAGATATAACTAATCACTTCTCTGACTTCAAAATCTTACATTTAGTACATTTCCAGGCTTGCAGTAACCCAAAATAGACTGGATGTAACAAAGAAATTTCAATCCATTATTTGGAAAACTTATTGTAAAATATACAGTTGATAATGATGCAATACTGGCAATAATGAATTATGAGCAGCTTCTCTGTCTCTTCAGGTGATGGCGTGGTCCTGTGCATTTCTATGTGCTGAGATTATGAAGTCAGCAGACTGAGGTGTTACACACGCCCTCATATTATGACTATAGTAATCCACATCCCCCTGAGCTTGTCCAGATGGGGATGCCTCTCTTAATTTAACCAAATATCTCTATTATATTAATAGTTCCTCCTTTAGAGGCCCAATAAGATGGCTTCATTGGGCTGCCCACAATGCTGCCTGGATCCCTACCCTCCAGCTCACTGAGAAATGTCAGTCAGGAAGGCCTGGATAAGCCTATGGAAGATGCTCTACCATTCCTTCTGATGTGTTTGCTTTAGGACTGGCACTGGTTGACCTGAATCTCACCTGTTGTCTGACTGTGTGAATACCTTTAACTTCTCCCTGCCAAGGTACCACATCTTACTTCTAAGTGAAGGTGTGTTAACATCATTGTTAAACAGAAAACCTTTTTGTTTTGGTTTTAACATAGTTAATTTTCCTCCTAAGGCTTTAAAACCCAGCAATCCTGTATGGCAGAATGTGGCCCTCTGTGTATAGCTTGGTTCTTTGTGCCTGAAGGACTCCCCCATTGTACACCTGTCTTGACAGATTGAGGCCCTAGAACAATATCGCTTAGTCACACACTAACCAGCAGGGGGAAAGTCTGTGCCTTTTATTAAAGCCTACCTACTGGCTTAGTGTTTGGAATTCAGTTCTACCTATAAATCAACATCAGAGCATACAACCCAGCATGCTCAAGAGCTTTGTCTAAACATCAAAGGAAGAACACAGGCAAGCACTATGATAGAAATATAACTAATCACTTGCAAATACATCTTTCCTGTCAGTAGGAGCTTAACCTTTCTGTTTAATGTGATGGGGGGAAATGCAGTTATTTCCATCCTATGTGTTTTCTTTAAAGAAGTATAGAATTTTTCTACAAAAAAGAGATATTTGTTCTTAACATAGCACAGACCAGAACATAGCATTTCAGAAGTGTATAATTGAAGGAAACAAGAAACGGAATTCTGTCAAAATCAGAAAACTCTTTCCCACCTAATGAAGGACAAATTAGTCCTGTGAATCTTATATTTTCTAGGAAAAAAAAACAGCTTGTGACCAAGGAGCACTAGGATAAAAAGAAAATACAGTAAAAAGGATTTATTTTAAAAATGGGGAGAACAGTCTTTATTTGTTTGTTGAGTGGCTGTGAGTGCAATTTGATGCTTTGTGGTACATTGATTGGGATCAATTTAACTTCATCCTCTGCTCATGGTTTTATCCCATTCATAAGGGGCCTAGGAAGGATTTATTTGAGGTGCTCGGAAAATCCTAGAATCTATAAATCCTTCCTTTAATTTGAATGCTACAGATTACGGATGAAAGTTTGGTCACCTGCGTGGATCAGTAGGATTAGAGACATCAAAGCAAGTGGAAATAAGAAAGACAAGCAGAGAAACAACAAACAAAAAGAAGTCCATCTCTGAAATTGAAGGTAGTATCAAGGGGATTGGAAGGTTCCGCTGGAAATACAGTATTCCAAAATGGATGAGCTTTGTTCCAGTGCTGTCATTGTTTCTAAATCTTGGATAAATTATAGAGGCATGAAGTATCAGAGTCAGCATCTCTGAAAAGAGAATTTTCTATTACTTTCTGGCTTGACTTCTCTGTGCAGCATTGGTAATCTTAATTTTCAAATATTTGTAAAGAAAGTGTTTTGTATGGAGGTTGTAGCAGTGTACACATTTATGATTTATTGGATTTTTGTTTGTAGTGTTTTATGTACATGCACACATATATGGTTCTATTTATGAGAGGTAGAGTATTCTAATGATCTTACAACGGTTGTTAACTTTAGAGTAAAATAAAAAGAGCAGAAATGCTAAATTTGTCAAAGCTAAGAAAGAGTCCTGGATCCTTGGTACAAGTTGTGAAATCTTAAACAATATTAATACCTTAGAGTTGTAAGAATTAAGTGAAATCTACAATAGAAAGTATCATATGTGTTTTAGCAACTCTACCTAGTAGTGCTAATATCAAAAAACAGCATGGAGTTAGTAGTGCTTTTATGCTGTATGTTTGGATATTTCAAGAAAAGCTTACTAGATATTGACTCAGTATCTCCTTACTTAGTATTCAATTATGGCAAATTGAAATTTAAACAAGGCCATTTGTTTTTTTCTGATATTGCAGCAGAACTTTGATAAGTTGTTACTGATAACTTTGATCTTCTACTCATGCTTGAGGTCTGGAACTGATTCTCCACTCGCCTTCACTTTCAACTGCACCAACTATAGTAAATAGAGCATGGATATGGTTTCTCCTCAGTCACTACCCTTCTCCCCCTTTGTACCTTAGAAATGTGTTCTATGCAAAGACATGGCCACTCTACATGGGTGTATTCACATATATCAAGGTTAATAGCTGTTTCCTACTGGCAAATTCTAATCCAAACTTCCAATGAGTCTTCATTAGAATAAAATGTGACTGTTGTGCCCAATTAAATAAGGCATTTCTAAAGGCATCAGAGAATTATTGCACTATTAAAATGCTAATGCACACCCAGTGTTTGGAGAAAGATTGTAAGATCCTTGAGGGCAAGAATTTGTTCTATCCTTAGGTTATGTACTGCATAGAGGAAAGTGGAGCACTTAATGATTTTGTTTTTAACAGCAAGCTAATTTGCTTTGTTTCAAGAAAAATTTAAGAGTGAAAATAACTTCCTGAGGCATCCTTCTCAGAAGGAGAAAATGGATTGGCAATTTCCAGAAATCAGGTCCTCAGGATCTTAAGACCATTACAAACTTCTGTGACATTCAGTACAGAGTTTCCTAAGAAAACAGAAAATTGTCAAGTCTCAAAGACTACTTCTTTGCACGTGTGCTCTAGAAAGGAGGGTAGGTAAGGCTCTTACTAATTAACCTTGTGTAGAGCAATGTTTCTCAGCTCCTAAACTCCTGAGAGCTTCTGTATCGCCTTCCTTTAGGTTTAGATCCAGGATCTTGGCAGTGAGGCTTGTTTCATGCTTACATATTACTCCACAGGCTGGTGAAAAGAGATTACCAGTATAGTGTTTGGAATAAGGACAGTGGCTGTAACAAGTCTGTCATAATAGCTGTTCTATTAATGTACTAGGTATTGGCATTATGTGGGAAAGGGACATGATAGAGCAGGTGCATGTGGGTTAGGAAAATTTGAGAACACATGTACATTCTCAGTGTATCAAAGAAGCAGTCACTAAGGCTTAATTCATGTCCACTAAATGTATAAAAAGATGAGAGAAAGAACTAAATGGGATACTTACTCTTTCAGGCTCTAAGAACATATAAATAAGTTAGAAATATTTATTATGTAAAAGTTAAACATGTATTTAAACTTCATTAATTTTTATAACTTCCTTTTATGAAATTGCTTCAGTATCCTTCTGCTGTTCAGATTCTATTTTGCAGTTAAATCAATATATGTATTAAATTTAAAATTTTAATTTAAAAATTATAATTTAAAACATAATTAATTTAAAAATATGTATTAATTTTAAAATATGCAATAAAATATGTATTAAACATTTCATTATATATATAATCAATCCATTAATGTTATTTAAGATGGATGGAAACACAATAGTCTTTTGAACAGATTTAAGATGATATTTATTTCATCATTGTGTAATATGTAATGATGCTAAAATCCTGCAGTTCTAAGTCATTTTATATAAATTAGAGATCATTGCATTAGCTGCCAGGGAAACTACTGTTCCTTAGTGCTGCTTTGCCTCAGAATGTGTTGAACTTATGTAGTAGGTACACAAAATACTTGAATCACACATAAAATCTAGTCTGCTACCTCTTGAAGGGGTCATCACATTTGCATAATAGATGTTAGGAAACCCAGCTCTACCTTCTCTCCCAAGCTCCACCACATGCTTTTCAGACATGTGCCAAGTCACTAGACATGTGTGCAAGATCCACATTACAGTCACAAAAGGTAAATTACTCAAGAGAAGTAATCAAGAAACTCCTCAATCTTTGTTAGGCAGAAGAATCTACAAGTAAATACATTTGAGTATAGTAAGAAATATTATATGTTGTTCTTTAGTCAATGTCTGTTGCCATCCTGGGAGGGAGAAAAGGTATGAAAAACTATGTTTAAGGATTTTGTGTAATGAGAATTGTCTGTCTGTTCATATTCAACTTAACTAAGCAACTCATAATTTACTGTCAGTATAACCCCAGACTAGTCATAGGGAAGGGTCAGCTCACTTCGATGTTACCCAATCACTTAACATGGAATTGATGCAAGTTGTAATTGTTTTTTGTTTTGTTTTGTTTTGTACAAGCAGTAGCACCTGATTCCCACTTTTCTCTTTCAAAATTCAAATACTACATTCTACTTTTATCTGATTGTATTTCCAAATCTGATACCTCAAATTGTTTCTTTCATTTAACTCCAAACCGTCAAATATGTGCAAGCAATTCTGGTTCTTGGTTTGACCTCTAGTGTTATAAACCCCGTGCCTTGAAAAGCTATTGGTTATTCTTTTCCACTCACATTTCAGTTCTTCTGAAATGTGGGTAGGGGAATCTGCTCCTAACAGTGGTGGCAAGATGGTGAATACCTTCATTATTTTTAAGTTAACCAGAGGTGAAGATTGTAGCCAGTTTCTTCCTATGTTAACCCTAAGTGAGTACAATTTGACAGAGTGAGTATTAATTTCTGCCTGGACTGTAAAGTTCAATGTGATTTGAAGAACATGCTCTTTTTTCCCCTATTTGAAAATTATCAACTCTGGCATAATTTTTCCAAGCCTGCTTTGATGATGATAGGTTTCATTTTAAAAGGGACCATCTCTACATGACTCACCGGAGGGACATGGTTCCAAACTTAAGTAGATTCTTTCTGTTCCCCCAAGAAATGGAGGAGTGATGCATTTCCAGTATGTATAATATTCTCTTCCAGTAATCTCCTGAGCCAGTGGAGTGGAAGCCACTAGAGAAGCATGAGAGAGACTCAGTTCTCACCCTGTGCCTCCTGTCAGATCTCCTCTTCTCTTCATTGTCCTGAGAATACTTGAGTGGGTATCACCTAAATGCCATTTAGAGCTATTTCCCTTTGGGTAAATTAACAGAAAAAAATATCTTTAATAGTCAAATTTGGGGCTTTAGACTGGGTGCAGTGGCACATGTCTGTAATCCCAGCCACTTAGGAAGCTGAAGCAAGAGAATCACAAGTTCTTGTCTAGCCTCAGAATCTTAGTGGGGAATCTGTCTCAAAATAAAAATTAAAACAAAATAAATTTTAAAAGAGAGTCATGGATATGGCTCAGTACTATTCCTATAGGAAAGAAAGTTAAATGGAAACCAAGGAACCTCACACCAAGCCCCTTCTCCCAATCTGATGATTAAGGCAGAAGTAGTGACCCTTCTTTGGCACTTGCCCTTGCTCTGATCCTTGAATTTGACATCTATGACTTTTATAAAGTGTTACTGCCTTGCCTAGACACTCCTTAGATTTCAGCCAAGTAAGAGTTCTAGTCTTCTTACTCTGACAAATATTTATGTGACTCATGGGATTTCCAAGGAACCAGGGAACATGCTAATTTTTTTCTGTTCAGTGTTGATATGTATTTTAGTTCATAGAGCCAGAGAACTACTTGCTACATTAAACTTTCATTATTCATTTACCTATTTCCTGTAGTAATCACTTGAGGCCCCTTCACAATGCTTACATCCTTTAAAGAACTATTTACATTTCATCATTCTTTACAAGTTCCAAAAATCTAAATGGGAATGGTTTTGCCTCTTTCTATGCAATAGTCTATTAATGATATGACTCTGACTCAGATTTCTCATGATCACATTGTTATACAACTCATAGAAATCAGAAAGAATATCTAACTTGCTTACTTTAATGAGCAAGGGAGTTTATTTCCTATTATATCTTGGGGAAAAATAAGTAAAGTTAAAAACAGGAAGTGGGGAAAGAAGTCATATCTATTAGGTATAGGAAGCATCCTTTTCTTCTCTACCTACTTAGAGAAAAATTGTAAAGAAGTGGAAAGTGAAATACAATTGGGATGCCAATATATTTTGGTGTAACTTTGCCATTAGCTCTGTTATCCTAAGCTAAGCTATTTTGTAGTATCCAGTTTTATTTTTAGCAGTAAGAATAATAAATTTTACATTTTAGAGACAACCTAAATTGGTGAAATTGTTTTAAAAGTTGCATACACGTTTGAGCTACATCTTTGTTTCCTGAATTTTGACATTTTCACCAAAATGTGGGGGGGGGGATTACAACCATCCTTTTCTAAAAGAATAATGTCTGTCTTATAGAAAATTAAATTTCAAAAGTGACATACATGTGACATATTATCAACAGATGACAAGTATCATGATTTGGATATGAGTGTCCTGAAAAAGCTCATGTGTAAGAAAATGAAAGAAAATTTAGAGGTAAAATCATTAGATGAGACAAGATTTGTAACCTAATCAGTGCATTGATCCACTTGAATAGAACTATAAGCAGGTGGGGTATGGCTAGAGGAGGTGGGTCACTGGGGGCCTATCTTTGTGGTACATATTATGTCCCAGGTGATGGGAAAGCTCTCTCTGCTACCCCACTCTCATGTCCTGAGCTGATTTCTTCCTCTACAAACTCTTGCATGATGTTCTGCCTCATGGAGGGCCCAGAGTAATAGAGTCTGAGACCTCTGAAACAATTGAGTACCAAATAAGCATTTCCTCCTCTACATTGTCTTGTTCAGGTCTTTTGGTCACAGCAATGACAAAAATGACTAAAACAAGAAGTTCTTTTTTGTTTTTGTAGGTCTAGAAGAGACTCATCAGACAAAATACATGGGAGAGGTGAATAGACCAAGCAACCTGTGTTAAACACATGTGGGTAATAAACCCGTCATAACCCTTCTTTGTTTAGGTAGCTGCTAACCTATCCAAGAAGTTTATCCTTACAAAACCTTTTCAATAAAGGACTTAACTGAAGTAGCAAACTTAATAAAATATTAAGATATATTTATGTATTTGTATATATCAAATTAATCCATAGTAATATTTTACTAAATAAATATCTGAACCTAATATTTGATAATATAGTCTTCATGTTCTTAATACACACACCATGTGACTCTGTCATGAGGCCAAGGGGTAGTGTTTCAGTGATCAAGTTGAGAATTCTCATCTTCTGGCATTTGAAAAGAGCTGTAATGAAACGTATGCTTCTTGAAGACACTGTCATATCTAGAATATATAAAGGACATGCAAGTTTTCCAGGTGCAAATAAAATTAGAAAGGATATGTCCACCATGTGGCCTGCGCGATGGTTTTATTAATGAGGTTCTAGGCATAAAGTTAGCTAGATGAGATCGAAATAAAACACACAGACTCAGTTATCTTATTTATATTGCCAGGTCTCAGACGGCTCTCCTCTCTGGTTCCCTCCTCTAACCGCCCAGCAGGGCAGCAAGGATTACTCAGGGCTAGAGGAGAGAGAGAGAGTGAACACGCCTGGGAGTAGCTTTTTATTGGGGAACAAGAGATTCAAGGGAGAATTCCATCCAATGAAGGTTGAGGGGGGGCTGCACTCCAAGGTCAGGGTCAGTGATTGGGTCCCCGGGGTCAGTGGTCAGGCACACCCCCACACGGATGGGCTCTCTCATCAGGAAAGGGCCGGGAAAGCTCCGACACAGCCAGAGCGCCTCAGGACCTTAACGGGAGCCACCCAATCACGTGTCAGAAATGGCTTCCCACAGATATGGAAGTGGATATTTCAAAATCGGGAAAAATTATAATCAATTTAAGTTTAGTTATATTTCTTTAAAAAGATAGTTTAAGCAAGATAATCAACTGCACATGAACTCACAACATTAAGTGCATATAATTTCTTAACATGGAATTTGGGTACATTTTAATATCTGATAAAGACCTCTAAGTAACAGTTTACAGCAAAGGAAGCACCTGTGTGTGTGTGTGTGTGTGTGTGTGTGTGTGTGTGTGTGTATTTCTTAAAATATTCTTTAGGAAGGGTAGGTCAAATATTTTTATCTGTTTTCCTTCCAACTCCATTTCATAAATTTTTTTTTAAAGTTTCTAAGTTTTCTTTATTAATTCTATTTAACCTTTTCATCACCAGAACAGACTCAGAGTGGCTCTCTCATTAGCATTAGATGCTTCTCTATATCTAATAATAGTAAGAAACATTCAAGTTTGCAGACTGTCACATCTTTAAGCACCATTTTTGTCATCTCCTTTTTCTTTTTCTTTTTTTCTTTTCTTTTTTCTTTCTTTCTCTTTCTTTTTTTTTTTTTTTTGTATTAAACAAAATGCATCTCCTCCTAGTGGTAGCACAAGGGAAATCACAAGCTCACTGTATTACACCACTGTGACAGAATGTCATTTCAATTGCCTTATTAACCATATGAAAAAATATATCACAACAGTGAGAAAACTTCTCAGTTATCTATATCTTTCCCCTTAGGCTATTGTCATGAGCCACTGGCATACTAAAGAGAGTGTACTAATTCAGTTGTCAGCTGCCTCACCTATTAAAAAGGAAGAAAATACCAGCAAAAATATGAAACCCATAATAAGGGTGCTGAAGAGGTCTGGATTGCTGTGTCCACTTGTAGTTCTGAATTAAACACTCTTTCAAAAATATGCCATTTGAACTGTCAACAACAATGCTGCTGTCACCCAGATCTGGCTTGGTAATGAAGCATTAGCTGTTGTGAAAATAGCTTCCCTGGAAGATGAAACTGGACTCACGTGCTTGAAGTTTTCAAGTGCAGTGTAAATATTATTTACCTCCCATTCTTTTTCAAAGAGTGAGGAGCTCATGAGAACCTTATGAGAGTGTATAGGTCTAGAAGTCAGATCAGCAGTCTTAGGGAAGAAAAAAATGTAAACTATAGATTTTATGAGAACTAAGTATAGAACATCTGAACTTCTTAGATTTTGACTAGATTTCTGGAAGTATGTGAAATTTCAAAAACTGATTTCTGAAACCCCTTACTCTAGGTAAACACTGAGTTGATTAAATAGTATTTACAAATACACTGTATTTTAAATTATATACTATGGCAAGAAGATGTATGACAATTGACATGTTAAGCATAACATAATAAGTAAAATCTGCATTTTCATAAACTGTTAAAGCCATCTCCCTATATAATAATGATATTTAACCCCAGGTGATATATATTGAGACTATTTTATATGATAAAATATGAGGCTACTAAAATGACATTAAATGTACTAGGCATGCCAGACACTGCAGAGGGCTTTGTGGTACGTTAATTTTTAAAATTCTGACAATGATAATGAGATTGACTACATATTAGCATAGCTTGACATTTACGTAGGGGTAATATATGCCCAAAGTATATGTTCTCACCTGAAGTTATATACCTAGTAAGTATCAGCATCATCATTTTTGAAATTAGCAAAGACTTCAGAGGTCTAGGGTTTTTTTTTTTTTTCTGTACCATAATGGGGAGTAAATTGGTGTAAGGGGTGTTGACTTTGAATCCACATAAAATAAATCATACCCTAGCAAAGCAATAGTGAGAAACTTCAATGCAAACTTGGACACTCACGTTCTAATAAACATGAAATAAATATGTAAAATGTGCAATATTTCATACAGTGTTCAATCATGCAATTACCTGGTAATGGTTTTAACCTAGATAGTTTGTCTCTTGGACATTGACCTTAGCTACATACCATGCTAGCACTTCATAAAATATACTTTCTCTGAATCCATTGCTACTTTGAATTTTCTCTCACTCAGTTCCTCAGTTCAAATTTAATAAAAAGAAGAATGATTGGTCCAGCTGGTCAGAATCTAATTTAGCACTGCAAACATGAATTTGAGGCCCTTGAGTCAGATATACAACCCTCATCCAATCAGTTAGGCAACTGTAGGGCCTGCGTGTGGGAAGGTTTCTTCAGAAAGGGTACAGACTGGCAAGTAGGTGAAAAATTATGATGAGCCTTATAATAGTGGATGAAAAGGGTCCTCATATTAATTCTTTGTTAAAAGACACTGAACTATTTAGAATGTTTGTGTTTCAAATTATGCTTTAGAAACTCTCACTACAGTGCAACTCCTGGCATAATATGCATTCGTTGGTTCTCCTGGAGTAAATTATCTCTGCTGGACACTGAATTCTAGAACTCAATGGACTAAGGAATCTCAGATCCAGAAAGCCACTCAAGGTATGGGGCTCTAGAGCAAGTGGATTATGTTGCAGTGGTTTTGAATATTCCCACCATGTGGACGTTTTGCCTCCTCGCATCCTGTTTTAATAACTTAAGTCACAGAGTCAAGTCTTACTGGTATTTCTATTTATGCAGTTTTTGTGTGCTACCCAGTGCTGGTACAACTATTCTGTTTCCCACTACTCTTATGTATCTTTGATTATGTTCTCTTGGTGTTCTAGTACTTGATGTTTGGTTCCCATGTTTGATTTGATTGGGAATATTTTGTAGGTATTGTGACCAGCAGCCAGATCCCTACTATGACAGTGTTGCAAATCTGATCCTACAACAGCCCAGTCATATATAAAATGTATAATAATCCACAGCTGCCTAAAAGAGTGATATGAATGTCATTATTATTGTAATGATAACTTATGCTAATGTATTGTATTTGTAAAGCTAAAATCATCTAAATAGCCACATTATTATTTGACTCAGTGGCAAGTCCAGGCCAATGATTCTCAAGGTTTAACACTGGACTGACCAGCATCATTAGCATTACTTGAGAATTTTGAATCAGAAGAAAATCACCTGGGACCCAGAGTTCTGTGATGCAAGGAGCCCTACAAGTGATCCTGACACATGCTCAGGTTGAAGAACCACTGGTCTAGACCTGGATTGAGGAGGCCTAGAACTCCGTCTTGATGGTTTTCTTTCTTTGGCTGCAAGTTTGTTTCTACCTAATAAAATACAAGTGTGAGAGGAAAGGTTTAGATCATAACATCATGTCCCATTGGTATTTCTGTTTGCTCAGTTTTGTATGCTTAAAAAAAAAAAGGTAAAGATGTCATAACACTTCTATTTTCTTTTAGATTTGTACTCCTAAATGTAGCTAAGAAATTAAACTATTACCAGTAATTTAGAATTTTGTGTAATTTTATTTATCTTTCATTAAAAAAGCCTTGAAAATAATTTGAAAAAAAAAATCACTTGAAAGAAAGGATAATACAAAACAGTCATACATCTTTTATTTTAATGAAATCTCTTATAAATCATTGATGATTTAAGCCCAATATCTTTTAAAAATAGAAGCATAACTCATGGAATATTATATTATAATAAATTTAAATTTATTTAAATTTATTTCTATTTCTATAGTGAATGCACTATGTAATTTTACTAAATAAAGTCTCCAGAGAATTAGTGAAGATTAGTAAAAAAAAAAAAACTGATATTATTTCTGTGAGATATTATTGGCTAGCATACCTAATGAACACAGCTAAATTTAGCTACTGTTTTATTTACATTCTAGGACTTCAGTTTAGTATGACTAATAGCTCAAATTGCAGAAATGCAATTCTGGAAAACAGAAAAATCATGTATTAATAAGGTTTAACATAAACAATATTGGCCAAGAGTTCTAGTAGTTGAAGTATCTGCAGGCAGAATTTTCTGCTAGAGCATGTGGGAGCAGGCTGTTTAGGAGCTGTGCTCCTGACTGCATGGGTGAACTGGAGATAATTCCACATGTGAGCTTGGGGAATTCAGTCAAGTCTGTGGACCTCGTCTAAGCCTTACAAAATAAAGAGTTGGGTTAAATAATCTTGAAATAATTTTCTAGGCCAATAATTCTATTAATAACTACCATTTAATCTTTGGAAGAAGCTGACAACTTATGCAGTGTAAAGATAAGGCTCCTAGAAGTTAAACAACTTCCCCAAGGTTATACAGTCAGAAAAAAAAAATCAGAAATGGGCTGCAAATTAAAACAAAAAGTGTTTG